CTGAAATTCAATTTGCATTATGTTGGATTTATTGGTTTGGGAAAAACTGACATTTTTACATCAAAAACAGAGTCTCCATTTACTCAGATCTTCATTTAGGTCCTTTTACTATTTCTTAAAATTTCTTAATAATCTCATGTACTCATTAATATCAATTTTTAAAAAAATATTTTTTAGTTGTAAATGGACACGATGTCTTTATTTATTTATTTTCTGTGGTGCTGAGGATTGAAAGGGTAAAGTTTCTAAGCTGCTTCTAAACTGCAAAGCCTGAGTTAAAATGTAAAAGACCGGGCATTGTAAAGTTTCTAAGCTGCAAGGCCTGAGTTAAAAAGTAAAGGACCAGGTATTGTTAAGTTCCTATGCTACACGCAAAACCTGAAATTCCTGTAGCTGTTAGGACAATACCGGAACTGCCCAGTAAATATTCCCCCTGACCATCTGGTTGTTTAATAACCTAGGGCCCTGTGTGACTTGGCATGTAGGCATCGCAGGGCCTGAACCAATCAGTTTGAATGTGTACCCCGCTTAGGAGTGACCAATCACCCCCGCCTGACCTGTTCCTGCCAATGAATGTGCTAATCAGGTTTAGGAATTGTTGTTTGATTTTCCCGCGCCTCATGATGATTTGTCCTGATGTATGCAAAGCCTCCGCCCTCCCCAAAAAGTGTACTTAAGCAGTGCTCAGCCCCTGCTCGGGGCTCTGGGCTGCTCTCCCTTCTTGAGTGATCACGGAGCCCCAGCACGCTGGAATGGATCCCCAATAAATCCCCTTCTGCAATTGCATGAGTCAGTCTCTTGGTGGTCTCTTCCTCCGACGCTTCGCCGGACCCTTACAGGATCAAACCCAGTGCCTCATGCATGCGAGGCAAGCACTCTACCACTGAGCCACAACCCCAGCACTCAATGTTTTGTTTGTTTGTTTGTTTGTTTGTTTTTACCACAATGATTTTTCACTACTATTTAATGGTTTGTTTCTATAATAAACATAATCTTGTCTTCCATTATGTTTCCAGTTGTATATTGCTATTACAAAGGAAAATCACTCATTCTTTAATAACTTAATCTTATATCCAGCACATTTGTTGAACTTATTTACTAGCTCTGAATTTGTGTGGATTCCTCAGATTATCTGTAGCATATCTCCTCTGTAAAAAAGGACAGCATTTTATGAGTGAACAGCAGTCACAGAAGAAATACTTGTTTCTGCCTTACTGGGAGAGTACTTTGGTTTGCTTTCCCCAGAAAGAAGAGCTAAGACAAAGACTTGGTTCGTGTACTTTATTTAAGAGGCAATACTGGGAAACTGGAGTAGGAAACATAGTAAGGCAGGAAAAGAAGAATGCTGATACAGAGGTGTGTTGGGGTTTAAGTGTGCAGAGTTTAGCTCCCTCAGGCCTGACTTTTTGCAAGAGCTGTGGCTGTGATTTAGGTCAGCTGAGGCAAACCTCAGTTAGGAGGAGGAAACGTTCTCTTCCCCTTATCGCAAGGCACAAGTTCTGCATGGTTTGGCCAAGAGGAAGAAGCTTCCTGCATACTTATCCTGGGAACAGTACATTCTAAAGAAACAAATGCATCCTCAGGGGACTAGATAATGTCTACAAAGAACTTTAGGAGGGTACTTATCAAATGAAAAGGAACAATCTGAATCTAGCTCTGTGTATCCGCTGAGGCATGATATTTGGGCAATGTGGGCAACGTGATATTAAAGAATTGCTTGCTTTGTTAGAAGAAGTGTATAAAAGGAACTTGCAAATAAACCTCAGCATGCAGTTGCGATTGCTGCCTTGGCTCTGCATCCCCTGTGTCCTGGTTATTTCGCGACCCTTACCCAGGGACCCGAACGCTCTAGACGTTCACAGAGGTGCACTGCTGAAATTTTCTCTGTAAGCAAAAGGGACTGGATTCCTTCTCTCTGAGCAGGAAGGAATGCCTCCCATAATTTCATCTGCAAAATAGGAAGCTGGGGCTTTTTTTTCCTGGACTGATCCCTGTTGGTTAAGGTTGCTCATGGGGTGTTAATGCCTGCAATTCCAGCTATACTTACACAAGAGCTGAAATTCTTTCGGATTTAGAGAAGGCCTAAGAGCAGAAATGTGGAGAGAGGTGTAGCGCAGGCTTGAGGAAGAATGCTGTCAGCATGAGGTCAGCCCACATGGAACTGCCCACCACAGATGCAACCCAAAGTGCAGGAGCACAGAGGAGATGTGACAGCACCCACTTCAGTCTACCTCTTGCACCATGCAGACCCACATATGATCATCTTAAGTCCTTCCTGTACTATTTCGGAGACTAGTTGTAATCTCTAGAAAATAATACAGAGGGTTCATGGAACTAGCTGGTTTCCACTGCTGCTACTAGTTACAGACTCTGGTCATAACTCTTTTACTTCTCTCCTATACCATCCTTTCTAGAAGGTCCTCATTTTTTTTTTTTAAGGAGAGAGAGAGAGAGAGAGAGAGAGAGAGAGAGAATTTTGTAATATTTATTTTTTAGTTTTCGGTGGATACAACATCTTTGTTTGTATGTGGTGCTAAGGATCAAACCCAGGCCGCACGCATGCCAGGTGAGCGCGCTACCGCTTGAGCCACCTCCCCAGCCCAAGTCCTCATTCTTTGTCAGTACTTCAGCTCTACTAAGCTGTTTGCCTGGCACAGTGATTCGAATTTTCAAACCTAAGGGCTGAGTGTCTTGGCTCTCATGCCCCTACCAGCATGTGGAGCATGGAAACTCCAAGTTCCTCTATGAATTCTCTGCCCATTATGTAGCGACAACCAGAACCTGCCAGGTGACAGGGATGACGAAAATTATAACTCCGTTCTGCTATTCTAGTAGTGTGAAAAACTCAAAGTGACTAAGTGACATGGTCAGATCCTATAGAACCTTTCCTTTATTTTCAGTGCTAGGTATTCCTTTATTCCCTGACTCTTTAGGATTCAGGACCTCTAATCCAGCAGGGCCTAAAGCTTCGGAGACACAAAGCATAACTGTAAAAATTAGTTAATGGAAACAATATTGTGAGAGGGCAATATTGCTTGATTCATGGACCTGAGTATTCCAACTATTGGGAACAAACTGTGTTGGTAAAGGTCTGCAAGCATATATAAACAAAAGGATTATAAATATTTTAGGTTTTGTAGGTTATAATGGTATTTATCAAAATATTTTGTCATCAAGGGGCCAAAGTAGCCATATATAAAACAAAAAACATTTCTAGAAAGGTAATGCCTCCATAAGGATCTATTGCCCAAGTCAGTAGTCTACATATATGTCAGAAAAAAATCATTCAGTTATTACATGTAATCATCTTGCCACCAAGCTGCCAGATAATCTGATCTCAAAAAAAGGACAGGACCATACTGAGAACTCAGTGTCAGCCCCTGCTACTGATAGCTCAAGCACCAGTAGTGGCCATCAGTATATCAGCCTTGGTGAGAGCCTGAGCTGTCACAGGACCCAACAAAAGTTCTATTCCTGCCACCTTGACATTCTGTCATAAATCCCATTGAACAAGCACTAGAGTAGGACAAAGACATCTCATAAATGAGTGGGGTTACTTTTCAAGTCTATAGGTGCTATAAATGTTAATAAAATTCAAATTTAAAATCAATGAAGACGGCTTCAAAGACTGGCACAAAGGTATATGCACTTCCTCTTCAACATCTCTCTCCACACATCTCTTTCCAGCTGTTTCTCCCCTTCCTCCCTCCCACCCCCAACATACCAAGGAATCTTCCATGGTCACAGTCTTCTTGTAGTCTTTCTTGATAGCCTGACAAGAGTAACTGGAGTATAAATAACAACTAGAATTCATTTATTCTTGTGGTTTCTTTTATTTTAAACCAAATTAACTGGCCCCTCCGTTATATATTAAATATGATAAAATATCTCATAAAATATAAACAAAATTCATAAGAATAGACACATATTCTTAAGTAAACTTTAAGGAAGTAATGTTTTGTTCTTCACCTTACGGAAAATAAACTTACACTTTCAAAAATATTCCTGTAATGAATTTATACCATGAGTTTCTTAATACAATAAAAAGTAGTAAAAGGCAATTTTACAATAAAATGGGAGGACAAATATAAAAAGATATGTATACAGTCTTATTAATTGAAAAAGTCTGCAATCTGTATTTGGGGTAAAAATGGGAGTTCATAACCCACTTGAATCTAATGTATGAAATATGATATGTCAAGAGTTTTGTAATGTTTTGAACAACCAATAAAAAAATGAAGAAAAAAAAAGTAGGTATTAATGATTTTGGTTGTTTTGGAAGGCACGCTTTGTGAATAAATACTGATATATAAGTTTCTCTCTGTGGACTGAAGAAGTGGGAACATAGGGAATCCTGAATGAGGCCTGGTTATATATTCCTGTACAAAAACACGTCCATAACACTGGTAAATCCTTCCTCATTCCTGGAAAAGGCCGTTTCTGGAAATAAATGTGTACAAGTGGTGGGGGAACCTTGTGTAGCCAAAGATACACAAGTTATTAAACCCCAAGTGTAATATTTTCAGAGCTGAGAGGATGTTGGAAATAGCAAAATCCAGCTCTGGCAAGTTCTTCAGAGAGATGTCTCTTCAGGTGCTGCTGTGATGGGCCAGGCAGGGCCGGACGTGTAGCATAGCAAGGCTCTGCAGGAGATTTGGATACAACCAGATTATATACCACTGAACCACGCCAGGAAGTGAAGTGACTTCAGAGCAGAATGTCCCATAAATGGCACAAGAGCCACATCTGCAGACCCTTGGCCCTCTACTGCCGCAGTCCGGCTGCAGCAAAATAACCGGGGGGTGACGAAGAACTTGTGTAGATTGATACAGCAGGAGTAGGAGCCGTTTATTGCAGGACAGGAGCAGTATTTATACATTCCACACAGCTTATCTAATTAGCATAAACTAGATACATCAGTCAACCAATCAGGAATCTCCACACTTAATGGCTCGCTTTTGTTACTTCTCAAACCACTCCCTCTGGCATTTTGCCAGGTATTATCCAGACTTGTTTATGAACTTTAACATTCCCCTGGCAAAATGCCAGGTGTTATTTTGACTTGTTTACAGACTTTAATACTCTACTTCACTTGTAGCCCAAAGCGCCAAGACTCTTGAGCTCTTACAACTCCAGTATGTAAGTATCAGTAAATTCCACCAACCTCAATAAGCTTATCAAAGACATGTTTTTCAGTCATCATGACTTTTCTTGTCCTAGAAATAATACTGGTTTTTCTAATATATTTTAGATCTAATACTTTCCACTATGCATTCATATATGTGTTACTTATTAAACAATGGCAGATCAGAGATTCATAGCCTATTAAAACTGGAGGACTATCAACTAGCTTATTCACTTTGAAGATGAGAATACTGATACTAGAGATATTACTAGCTTGACAAGCATTTCTAGAGTTCAATTTTCCTTTTTGACGTCAATAAAATAGCCTATATTTTCTTCTTCTTGGTTACTGTCTGTAGAGATGAGCTAATATGTAATGCATATCGTTAGCTTTCAGCTTGGGTTCTCTCTTGTATAAGACAGTTTGCTGTGGTTTTTCTAAATGTTTATATTGAAAATTGTTGCTATACAACAGTGTGATGGCAGCTGATCAAAAAACTATAGAAAGTCTTCATCGGATATTTAAAATAAATCCAGGTGCTCCTTTTGAATGTAAGGGTCACTCATAATAAATTAAAGGGGAATTTAAGAATATTTTTTGAGAAATACTAGTTTTAGGTAGGTAATTGTGAGGAAAATAAAAATCATACAAGTCAAACTCAGGAGATTCTTCCACAAGCCCCAAGGTGAGAGATCGATGTCTTGGATTGTCAAGAATTCTTCACCGGTACATCTGAAATTCAATTAAAAAAAAAAAAAATATATATATATATATATATATATATATAGTAAATTCCTAGTATCTAAAGAAATTGATAGGTTATCCAAATCATTAGGAGTTAGTCTTTCTTATATAATAGCTAAAAGTCATTGAGTGCTTACAATTTTGCTAGATACTGTGCTAAGCAACTTGGATCTAATAGTTTAGTTATATCTTAAAACAATCCAAGGGAATATAGATATACACATTTGAAAGAGGAAGGGAGTAGACTTAACAAACTTGGCCAAGCCTACAGAGACATGCTGTGAAGCAAGTTTCTAGCCTTTTGATTCTTTCATTTACAAATTTATAATGCTGCTCTCTTCAAAGGATATATTCTGTAGGGTAAACTTTCACTGAGAGTTTCCCCATTAGAGCTAACTTCTATGAGTCACCCTCAGCTTTAACTGATGACACCTATGGCCCTTGCTAAGATGATCAAACTCCCCACAGTTCTGCTTACCCTCAAGACAGTAAACTACACAGGCTAAGAATTCTAAAACAAGGACCAAATGGGAGCAAGACTTTCCAGCAAGTCATGTCTGTCAGCTGTTGCATCAAGACCATGGAGCACATCACAGATATTCAGCTCCAGGATGTCACCTGCAGGCCCAGGAATCAGAACTGAACTCTAGCTGGAGCAGAGCAGGATGCAGCATTTCTGCCAGGTAGAAAAGCACCGGATACTAAAAACACCTGCTGCAGCCACAATAATTGCCTGCTGCCATTCTCGTGCCTATTGTTCCATCTCTTAGAATTTGGCAGTTACAAAAATATCTATGGCTTCTCTTTGTTGTAAGAGGAGCTCTGTCTTTCCTCTTGTGAGGATGAGCCCATGTGATCATGAAGCCTGTGGTGGCTCCTCCTAATCTGGTCCCATTTTCCCCCATCCACTTTGTTCTCACCAGCAGCTTGGCACTGATTTTGTGCCACACCCTGATCAAATAAAAGAGAGCAGGCAAGTAAAGAAAACACCTCTTCCCAGATTTTCTGGTTGGTATAGAATTATTTCTATACTATTTGAAAAATCCAGGAGAGTATTAGTATTCCAGCATTCTCTTTTTCTTATTAGTTTAAGCATCAAAGTCAAACCATTAGCAACAATCATTGAACAGGTAGGCATCATCAAAATTTTAAAGCAAGATCCTCCAATTTTATTAAAATCTGCATTTCTGTTTTAATGACAATGTATGAAAATAAGACTTTCTTCTCAATTTACTGATTTTTTTTTCCTTTAAAGGATACATCCTATGAGAGAAAGTATTCCAAGTCAGTTTATATACATACACACACACACACACACACACACACACACACAACTGAGTTGTCTTTGATTTTGTGATGTCTCCCACATGTGTGAGCAAAGGGAAGAGCCTGGACTTGGGGCCACTGTTCCCTCCCTTGATGCCATTACTGCCTCATTAATTCTTACTACTGTCCATGGGCTGGGCTCACAGACAACATATAATCTGTTCAGTTCAGAGACTAGGAACCCTTGATAAACTACTGAAGCACCCATTTCAAATTCAAATATTCTGAAAAATAAGAACTCAAACTCACAATCAAAACATGAAAATAAATTTTCCATAGGGAGAAAACAAACATTTCTCCACATTTAATACAACATTGAGACTGTAGTGGAATACAAGTACAGCATGTTCACATGCACTAGTGTACAAGATCTCGCTTTGTGAGTGAGAAGACTTACGTTCAGAAAGATTCATTGAGTTTGGGCTCTAAACCCAGGGGACTTTCTATATCTCATCACAGTGGTAAGAAATCTCATATGACATTGAATGGAAACTTACATCACATAGCTGATACAGCCACTGCTTTCAGTTGTACTGAGTCCTGGACAGAAGTTTTGTCCCAAAAATTCATTATGTTGCAAAGCCTATATCATAAGGGGCAGGGGAAAGGCAAGATAAATAGTTTTACATTTCAAGAAGTTTCCAGATGCCAGGTACAGAACCTCGTACTATAAACCCTCCTGGTGGGGAGACTATTGCAGGAGGATAGCAAGTTCAAGGTCAGCCTGGGCAACTCAAGGTAAGGAGATCCTGTCTCAAAAAATAAAAGGGGCTGAGAAAATAGCTCAATGACAGAGTGCTTGCTCAGCATGCACAGGTCCCTAGGTTAAATCCCTATTATTGCAAAAATTAAAAGTTGCCAAAGAATTATCACAATTAAGCCCTCAAGTTTAATCTTCATTATTGTTTCTAAAAATAAACCAAGTCTTACATTCACAGCACAGCAGCTGATATATTTTCCCCGGTAACCAAGAGGCCTAAGTTTGGGACATTGCTTTTCATTGGCAAAAAAAGGGAGACCTGGGCCAGATAGCCCAAACTTCTTTCTTCTCTCTCAATTTTACAACCCTAATAAAAACTATAATTAAAATGATACAATAGTGTTTAGTGAACATTGTCAACTTATAATAACAATGTTTTCTTGTTTGTTTTCATCAAAAACTAGTTGAAATTATGGGAGTTAGAAATTTGGTTATACTGTGTTAAGACACAGCTTCCTTTGGAGTTGATTAACTTGCCAGTATGGCTCTGGGTATTAGATGGTCTTCTGATTCTCTTTTAATTTCACTTTCAGTATAAACAATGTGTTTCACTCTCCCTTCCTCTTATTGATTCCCTTATTGAACTAACACAAAATACGTTTTTCATTAATTAGTTAACCTTTTCTATTAACTAGATTTTCCCCCAGATTTCTTCTTCCTCAAACAATGATGTGATTGGGAAAATCCAGGTACCTCCCTAAAAGACAAATCCTTGATGAAAGAGATTCACAGTTCATGCCCATGGAAATTAGATGATTAGGATTTATTTTGATTGTTCCCACTTTGGAAACTCTGCCACAATGGCAGACGTGGATATCTTACCATATAGCCATAATGAGGAATACTCAAGTACTCAAGCCATGAGAGCCAAGGTGTTGTGGTGCCAAAATTCAGAGTCATACCCAAGATGACCTAAAAAAAGCAAAACCAAGTGTCATGAGGACTCCAGACAAGACCCTATATAAGAACTTTGCAACCTTCTAAACATTTCTACTAGGACCTACTCTTTCTTGAAATTTCTTCCACTTACTTCTAAATACTGATTTTAGTCCTATGCATGTATATACCTCTGCATGCTTAAGGAAGTTTATGGTGTTAAAGTAAGAACAATGTACCTCTAATCTATATAGTATACTCCACTTATTTGGGGAGATTGTTTATTATCAAGACTCTGTCCTTAAATCACTCTGCAACTGTATACAATAAAGATTAAGAACTAAGGTCATCTCTTAGTATCTGACAGGGATTAGTTACAGGAGCCTCCAGCAACTCCCACCCACAGATACCAATATCTGACAATCTTATATCTCTAATTTTGAAAATGGCATAATATTTGATACAATTATGTATATCCTTTATGCTTTAAATACGCAAATTCTGTATTTTTTAAAAAATCATTTCCATATTTCTTTTGAAACACAATACAAGTCAACCACCAAGTAAAAATTTATACTGTATGGTTTTGGGACAAATGACAAGAAAAGAAAAAGTGTCCATTTTCAGTACAGATGCAAATTTTGTTTTAACACCCCCCAATCCCCATGGTTGGTTGAATCTTTGGATGTGGAACCCATGGACACGAAGAGCTGATGGTACAGACTACTCAAATTATACCTCCACTATCTGTCCCCCTCATAAACCTGGACATCTAAAATCCTGAGCATCACATGCTCCTCTCTACTTCTACACAATAATAAGAGTTGTCATTTACAAGGGTTTGCTTTTTGTACCCATGCCTGTAGGAACAATTTGGGATTCAGAATGCCAGCTTAAATACCCCAAAGCCCTAAAACTCAAAAAGAATAATAATAATAATAATAATAATAATAATAATAATAATAATGTGAATTCAGCAGAACACAGTCAATACCTCTATTTTAAGCTATCAGAAAGCAATATAACAGTGGAGATGCCAGAAAGGACTGCTAGAGACTAACAAGAGACAGCTATGAGGTTCACATAACACTTGTCCTAACTGGTGTGAGGTGCACTGGGATACACAGAACAATGACAATGTTAGGGTGTGTGTGCATATGTTTAGACTGGACCTAACTAAGTGCTTAGTATACACTAGCAACTCTGAGCGAAATATGGTTTTATGATTGGTTTTTTTAAATTCCATATGGAATTCTTTATATAATAATTAATCAAAGCATCACATCAAAGAAAAGTTCATTTATTGAAAGATATTTTGTTTGTTGTACAACAGCATAGGAACTATAACAAGATCCCTTTTGCAATGATATATATTGTAGTTGCCAAATTCATAAATTAAACTTTAGCAAGAGCTTATGCTAAATATGTATCATTGAAAAACAACTCCTACTGAAGCAGAACGGACATGTGTATTAATAGGATGAGCACTCCTGTTTAGTTCATGTCACAGGGAGAAGGTTGGTAGCAATTATCAGCTGATTCATCATTTTGAGTGCAAAATTTAAAGCATAAAAGATTAGAATTAAGTAAACATTAAAAAATCCCAAAAGATGTAGAAATATTTTGATATAAGAGAACCTCAGGATCCCACAAGGGAGGGAACCCAGCACTGTGGACTTTGGAATTTCTAGTGCTTTCAATACTTCTTTTCAAAATATAAGAGGCACTCCAGTTAGACTTCCCATGCCACACACTGTCAAACTCCTCATGGATCTTCACTTTAGCCTTGAAGCATACATAATCCAAAAACCAAACCATCTCTGCTGATTACAGACCTGGCAATTCTCTAACACCAGCATGAAGGTCAGGCACAGAATCTGTTTTTTATGAGGGAATTGGCTAATCATAATTCTTCTGGGATTTGGTTTCCAATTTATCAAGGTTTCATGATACATCACCCAGAGGTATTTTTAAAAGCTCATTAGTGAGGATTGGTTAAAAGTTAGAATTCTAACAAAATTAGGACTCAAGCAAAAAGATTGCATAAGGACCAGGAGGAAAGTGGTACATTCTCTAATAGCCACTGTGTGGCCTCTGAAAACATTGGAGTCCCACACAGGATCCTAAAAGCAAGTTTTAAGGACAAGTGAAGAAGCAGGAAAGAACAAGGGAAGAGATTCCCTCTCAAAGCAGTACAGTTCACACTCACCATCATAAACACAAAATAGACAGTCACAAGAAATGTCTTTATTTCCATCGCCTTCTCCCCTGCTCCCAGGATCATTGCCATGGTACCGGTGGCATAAGCCACCAGCAAAACAATAATCATCAACATGAAGAAAGCCCCCACATCTAGTTTCAACCCTTAGAAGGAAAAGAAAGAGTTAGTCCAGCTTCCTAGGTCACCTTGTATTTTAAATTATTTATTTTGCCAATAATACTACAACATTCTGATAAACTAATATCAGAATAAAAAAAGTCACCTACTATCGAACTATCATTATTATTTCCTTCCATGTAACCACATAAAGTTATCATATAGTTTTCTTTTCTACATTTACTGAAAAAGCACTTTTCCATGTAACATCCATGCTCCTCTATGTGTAATGATGAACAACTTCTAAGTGGCTGAGATGGAGGGATATGGGCAACAAAAATGGTCACAATTCTACTGTCACAGGAAACTCCTCAACAGCACATTCACGTACCCAGACATCTCCACATTGTTCATTGTTTTCTGTAAATGATTAGTGAAGAAACAGGGATCAGGATTTTAAGATCCCATAGTGGGAGGAAAAGGGGACTACTAGGGACTGAACTGTAGCAAATTAAATTCCGTGCTTGCATAATCATGTCTGCATTAACCCCAAAATTATGTATAACTATAATACACTAATAAAACATTTTCAAAATACCCGGGGGAAGGAAAGTTATCCTCATAACCTAAGACCCTTGAAACAAACCACCACATAGTTCTGATTGAAAGGGGCTAATTAAGTTTCCTAAAGTATTCTATACACTACAATGAGATAATGTTCTGTGTCATATCACCTGAGAGTTTGGGAAGAGTTGTAAGAACACTTATCAGAAATCTAGGGGTTTAGATTCCATGATTAATTCTTTCTGACAAACCTGATTTGTAAAATGGAATGCTTAAGATCTATCAGTGGTTGTTATCCTGCAGTATGTTGTCAAAAACAGATATTGTGTGTGTGTGTGTGTGTGTGTGTGTGTGAGAGAGAGAGAGAGAGAGAAATTCGGATGCAGTATCTGAAGTGAAACCTGAGTCTAATGCACAAAGGAATCCATCTACACCCATCAAATAATATTTTTTTAGAGAGAGAGAGAATTTTTTAATATTTATTTTTTAGTTTTCAGTGGACACAACATCTTTATTTTATTTTTATGTGGTGCTGAGGATCAAACCTAGCGCCCCGCACATGCCAGGCGAACGCGCTACCGCTTGAGCCACATCCCCAGCCAAAATAAGTATTTTTATTACATAAATGAACACCAAAGTTATCATCTTTCTTTCTCTGATTAGAGAGGAGAAGGAGAAAATATATGTGTATATTGATATTTTTATCCCTCTCAATACATCCCTATACACAGTAGAGATATTACCTCTCTGTACTTTATCTCTACATAGAGACATATAAAGATATAGAGAATAGATAAGGCAAAAATATCAACTAGTTTATAATTTCTTTCATGTTTGTGTATGACACACAGCAACTCTGTGTGTCAGGGATCAGGATTTTAAGACACATAGCATCTCTGTGTGTCATACACAAACATGGAAGAAATTATAAACTAGTTGATATTCTTGGCTTATCTATTCTCTCTCTCTCTATATATATACTGAGAGCAGTAAATTGAAGTTTTATAAATAGTTTTGAAGTTTGGTTGGCCCAGTCACAGGGGTGCATACTGGTAATCCCTGGTGTCTGGGAAGCTGATGCAGGAGGATCCCAAGTTCAAAGTAGGCCTGGGCAATTTATCAAGACTCATCTCAAAACAAAACAAAAATAAAATTTCTGGGGATATAGCAGAGTAGTTATAGCACTTGCCTACCATGCTCTCACTCTGGTTTCAATTCCTAGTTTTTGTAAAAAAAAAAAAAAAAAAATTGGTGGGAAAAATCTTGACAACAATGCCATCAGTGAACACTTATTTTACCAGAATGCAGGGAGGTTATATGTATTTCCATAGCTTATATACAGCTTGGTTTGTAGTTTTAATAACCATGAACATGCTCGAGAGAGAAATGAGCATCACCTCATATTCAAGACTAAAGACACATCTTCTTCATCTTGCTACTTACCTAACATGACGTATAGTATAGAAGTAAATATAATAGTTGGAAACAACCTCCGGGGTATTAATTCAGATAACAGTTCCCCAAGGAAATAAGGCAACACTCTGTAGTATCCACTGAGGTACTCGTGTCTGCAGAACAAAAACACACACCACACAGCCCAGATGAGATGCTGCTATGCAGACTCCTGCTGCCACCAGGTCTGACACTGCAGCTGCCCACAGGCTCCAGACTGACTGACCCCCCATGCCCTTCTTTATCTCAGGGCAGCCTCCCCAGGGTATCAGCTCCATGAGGCTCTTACTGTGACCCTCTCTCATGTTAGCACTTCTCCTGCTGCTGCCCATTCTGGCCCACATCACCCCTCTAAGGAGAGAGTCTGCATCTCCTCACTCTCCTCAGAGACCCTGCTTCTCCTCTGAGGCTGGCTTTGCCTGAAGAGCAGCACTTGAGAGGTTAAACTCAATAGTAAGAGGCTTTTCTTCTCTCCACTTCCGATTGTGAAAAAGGTGACTTTATTATTTTCCAAGGCCCCCAAATGCAGGTGCAATTTCCTAAATTCTTTTTACTTCTGCTGCTCGTTTCAAAAATAATTTTAAAAAAAGACTTCCTTCAACGATCATGTCTTTCAACATACACCCTTTCAGATACCAAATCCTCATTTTTCCTCTGCCTGATGTCTCTCTCCCATAATTTCAAATTCTTCCACCAGTGTCCTCATTCCTTTGTTCTCTGAAGATTCCTGTCCTTGGCATGTACGTATGGGCTAACTCTTGCATCTTCGAAAAGCAGAAACTACAAAACTAACCTGCCTTTTACTGTAAGGCTGCCCTCTGGCTCTTTCCACTCCTCCATCCACAGAGGGCTAAACTAAGTCACATTCTTTGCCAATTTTATTTCCCATCTCCAATTTGCTGCTGACGCCACCACTTACTCTCTACCAAACTTTTCTTGCAAGGGTCACAATGATCTGTTATTTCTTAAAAACATAAAAATACTTTCCACCTCGATTATTGCTTGTTTTCTTGCAGCACTGGGATTGGCTGGTCATAGCTAACAAAAAACTCTCTTTCCTTCAGTGGCACACTCTACACACCCTTGATTTTTTACCCTCACACGACTGCATTTTCTGTCAATATTGGTAATTCCTAGCTATATCTCAAAAGTTCACACTGTGAATGGTAAGTCTACACATTTTATGGCAAATCTCCAAGATCACATCCTTGTCCCAATCCTAGAAGTGACCTGTATGACCAATAGATACTGATGCCCCTTTCTGAAACAGAGACCAACTCACTTGAAAATTTTCTTCTGGAGCTCAAAGATCTCCCCAGCTGTCACACTGCTTAAACACTGGACGACAACCAGCACGTAGAGTGCCCAGGCTCTGCCAGGACAGAACAGGAACAAAAGTATTGCAGTCATGTCAATGCCATTAGCTCAGTTTTCTACCCACAAACTCTTTCCATAAAAGACATAACATTAAATAGATTTTTTTTCCTTTCGGGTTGCAGAACTATTCTGGTTAAAACTAAAAGGGAAGCATGAACCCTTAAGGTCTCTCCGCATCTCTGTATCTCCACAATAGTGCCCCTGTAATTCCATATTATAGCCCTATTTGAAATTCATAGTCTTAGCTGACTGTAAACTGAATCTTCGGAAAGCAGAAGAGACAAAACCAACCTGCCTTTTGCTATGAGGCTGCCCTCTGTCTCTTTCCACTCCTCTATCTACTGAGGACTAAACTATGTCATATTCTTTGCCCATTTTATTTCCCACCTCCAATTTGCTTCTGACGCCACCACAAAACTCTCTTTCCTTTTGTGGCACACTTCATATACCCTTGATTTTTTACCTTCCTATGACTGCATTTTGAAATTGATATATGGAGGCAATAACCCCCAATATGCGGGTATTTGGAAGTAGGTGACTTCGGAAATATTAAGGTTAGATGAGGTCATCAGAGTACAGATCCCAAGATGTGATTAGAGTCTTTATAAGAAGAAGAAACATCATAGCATACTCTACTGTGAGGGTACAGAGTGAGGCTGCTACCTGAAAGCCAGGAAAGACTGACCCTCCTGGAATGGAACCCTGAGCTCAGATTTCCACACTCTAGAATTAAGGGAAAACAAACCCCTATTGTTTAAGCCACCATATCTATAGCATTTAGTCATGGCAACCTGAGCTAATTCATAGGTCACAGAAATAGTATCACCTTCAATTAAAAAAGAAAATGACCAGTATCATTCTAATGTATATTTGGAAGATCAATAAAGCCCCAAAGTGTTAAAACATTCACTTAGCTAATCTGGTCTTCAAGTGGAGTAAGAAAAAAGTAAGACATGGGAAGGAAAATGCCAGACAGTGGAGGGAACCCGCACTCAGCTCTATACTACAGACACCAGCACCTGACCATCAGCAAAGCCTTGACAGTTAGCCTTGACACGGGACAACTACCCTCCTACCCAGGCTTCCAAAGAAAATAAATCAAACTGAACCTGATTCGTGAAAAACAATTAATTTTTGCATCTATGTGAAAAGGAAGTCTTTCAATGCTTCTTTAGAAAAATGATTGAGGTTTAAAAAGGAAAGTGTTCAGTTAATCTACATTTTGATAGATACATAGATGTCATAAAAGCAACTGCATGTACTTCAAACGTGGATGAGCTGCACGTCACAACCAAAGAGTTTAATTAATATGGAGGATGTTAGTTGTAACTTTTTGAAAAAAAAAAGAGATGATGTGACACATCATTTAAATAACAAAAGCAATAAAACATTTAAAAATTGTAACGCAAGTGAAGAATCACAGGTACTTTAAGGGAAAAATAAGAGTCCATTGACAATAATTTTCCATAGTACCTACAGAATAAAGAACTAAGTGTACAGGTTATTTTAAATGTAAATGTTTATACAATGATTAAATTGAATGGCAATCAGCCAGGCCTAACAGAAAATCAACTACACAACTTTTGAGCCAGGAATAAATCTAATATCAAGTCAAAAGCTAATTTGAGAAATGTGGGACATGGCAAAGATTCAGTTCAATATGTTGTGTAACATCTAACAGTACAGTGATGTTAATGATTCTGAAATATGAGATTATAAAATTCCTTCTAAAACATAGGATAATTTATTTTATATTAAATTTTTTTCATGTTTATGGAATTCTGTGCAAATTCTTTCCAAGGTGGTAAGCCATATCTGTATTATCTACTTAATTATCTGATTTGTTTTAAAATATTAATGATAAGTTGACAAATTATACTTGCATCTTTATGGGTACAAAGTGAAGTTATGGTTCATGAACGTAATGTGAAATAATCAAACAAGATAATTAAGGGAATATCTACCACTTCAAATATTCATCATTTTTATGGTAAGAACCTTTGAAATAAATTCTCAGCAGTTTTGAGATATATATTAGTATTTACTATATTCATCGCATTGTGTAATAAAATCTCAAAAGAAAAAAAAAAACCCTTATTCCTCCTGAGACTTTGCACTCTTGACCACCTTGTCCCTTTTTGCCTTCCCCTCAGCCTCTGGCAACCACCATTCTTTCTACTCTCTGCTTCTAAGAGCTCAATTTATTTACCATAATGTTGTCCACTTCCATCCATATTGTCCAATATGACAGAATTTCTTTCTTAGAGATGAACAGTACTCTACTGTGTATACACATCTCACTTTCCCTATTCATTTATCTGAGGATGGACACTTAGATGGAATCAACAACTTGGCTATTGTGAAGTGTACTTCAGTGAACATAGAAGTGCAGATATCTCTTCAACAAACTGATTTGAAATCTTTCATGTTAATACCCAGAAGTGAGACAACTGGATCCAATTATTTTAAAAACACCTTAACTTTTTTTTTTTTTTCTAATTCGTTTATCTGTTATCATAAGCCTATAAGGCTATGGAGTTAAAGGAGTTCACATTCCATAAAGGATTGAAACCCATTTCCTCAGCTACACAGGTGAGAGAAAATGCAAAGACAGTGCTTGATCCCAAAGAAGAATTAAAGGGTTGGCCTCCCCAGCAATTTCAAAAGATGAGGCACTGATATTCGCCCCTGAAGGAAGCTTTAAAAGCTTGATTCCAGAAATGAAATTGAAACATTGTTTTCTAATCAAAAGAAGCAACGAATGATCACCCCAGGACAGATTAGAAAAGCTACACACAGAGGCCATTTTCACATAGTTCACCTTTTTATTAAAAAAAAAAAGGTAGTAAATATAGGCAAAAATACAAATTAAAACAAGGAAAATGTCCAATTTCTCCAGAAAACATCTTAAGAAATTACTAAAGCTCTCTTATATTCTCTGGAGTTTTCTACTAAGACCTTTAATGCTTGGCTTTTTAGTTTGTCTTTATTTTCAGTTAAGGATAGCTTTCTTAATATTTTATTCAAATGCTTCCAGACACATAATATGGGCACAGTCTCTAGGTCCTGTTGGATTAAGAAGTGGAATCTACACAGGGAACAAACTAAATATTAGCATGTTTGGAAATAACCCAGAGATCTAAGCCTCTAGGGATGGTAGAAGTATGGCATAACTCAGGAAAATCTCTGTATAATCATATTATAGTATAACATTATCTGATTCTACTCAGATGAAAAATGTTTCTTACGTGAGGAATCCATGTTTAGCCAGGTGCAGTGACATACTTCTGTAATCCCAGCTACTGCGGAGGCCAAGGCTGGAGGATCACAAGTTTGAGGCCAGTCTGGCCAACACAGTGAAACTTTCTCAAAATAAATAAATAAAAATAAACAGGGCTTGGGATGTAGCTCAATAGTAGAGTGCCTGAGGACTTAGGCCTTAGTGCTAGTGCCAGGGAAGAAGCAGGAGGGAGGGAGAGGGAGGAAGAAGAAGGAGGAGAAGGAGAAGAAAAAGAAAAGAGAGGAGAGGAGAGGGGAGGGAAGAAGTAAAGAGAAGAGGTGAGAGAGGAAAGAGAGAAAAGAAAAAAGATACACAATTGACTTTGACACTTATTCTTTCTTTAAAAAATAATCAGCCTTTAATAGACATCAAAACAGATTTTCTATAACCTCCCTCAATTGTCCTCAATATTAAAATGAGGATAAGACCATGTACCCCTATGGATGTTAGGAGGTACCTGAGGCTGTGGATGTCAAGCATGGGATCCAATGTCTAGCAAGCAGTGGTTCTCATACATGAATTATGATGAGAACCTTGTTGCTAAGTACCTATGCTATGAACATAAAATGTCTCATCCTAAAATGAGATTTTTAAGGACATATTATGATTAAACTAGGTAATGATCACAACACTAAGATAGTATTATCCATAAAACAGGAAACACTGATTCTTACCAGCCAACTCTACTTATACCCTGAAGTCATATGAATCAAAAACCATAAAGGAAATTGGCTCACAGGTAACAGAAAAATAAACACGGGACCAAATGCACTATCAAGAAAAAGATAGCCTACACAATGGGAGAAAATATTTGCAAATCCCATATCCCAAAAAGAATTAATTCAATTTTAAAATGGCTATAGGACATTATAACAGAGATCCGGTAGATGCCTATTATTCAGCAAAGGAAAAAGTAACAACTTTTGATAAGGACATGGAGAAACTGCAACCCCTGTTAACTACTGGTTAGAATGTAAAATGGTGCAGCTCCAGTGGAAGACAGGATGCAGATCCTCAAAAGAATAACAAAATTTCCATATGGCCCAGCCATTCTACTTCTGAATATTTACCCCCAAAGAACTAAAAGTAGGGACTCAGAGAGATATTTATAAACCTATAGCAACATTATTCATAATAGCTAAAAGGTAGAAGTAACCCAAATTTACATGAACCAATGAATAGATAAACAAAATGGAATATATAGATATAATAGACAATCATTTAGACTTAAAAAGGAAAGAAATTCCAACACATGGTACAACTTGGAGATGCGAAGGGAATAGGCCAATCATCACCAAAAGACAAATACTGCAAGAGTCCACGCATGTAGGATTCCTGTAGTAGTCAAATTCAGAAACGCAGAGTAGAATGGTGTTAGACAGTCTGCAGAGAAGTGAGTTTTGGTAGTAGCTGATTCATGGGGATTCCATTTGGGAGGATGAAAACAATGGTCTGGAGTCAGGTGGTCCTGGTAGTCACACAATATGAATATATTTGATACCACCCAACTGTCCACTTAAGAATGGTGAAAAGGATAAATTTGAGTTGTACACTTTACTATTATATATATATATATATATATATATATATATATATATATATATACATATCTGTAAAACAAATGATCTTTTCCATTCATTCTTCAATGCACTAACTCCTTCTACCCACAATAAAACAATGACATTTATTTACCATAAATTCAAATATGTAAAGTATATTCATAAGCTTGAAAAAAGTAACAGTATTTTTTCAAATTGAGATTCAAATTTACTTACCTATTCTGGATTTCAGTACAATCATTTTTTAGCACAAGGAATGTGGCACCTACAATCAATCCCAGAATGGCTATGCCAAACATCTTACCAAAAAGAAAAATGAAAATAAAAAGGAAATAATCTCAATTAAAGGTAAAATTTTGTACATAATTTATTATTACAAGATTGTGGTTACATAATCAAATCTCTCTATTGTGAGCAACACTTTAAATGGCATGGACAAAATCCCTGGGAGAATATAAAACACTGTACTTATTAGACTGCTTTCTAACTTAAATTGAAAATTAAGGTATTTGTTGTTTTGGGAGGACTGACAAGACAAGAGCAGATGATTGGACAAATTAAGATTCGGTCCAAAAGGCTCTCCTGGTTTAGGGCCAGTTGAGGTTCTGTACCCACAATGCCATACAGGGTAAAGTTAAGCATGTGGTAGAGAAGTCATTTTTAGGCAAAAAATAAAGTCCAAGTGGCTAAAATTTTAGACTTAACTGAACTCTCAACTTTTGTGTCCATGAACATGCATAGTTTCATCCTTTAAGAGGGTTCACAGCTGGGAATGCAGCTCAGGAGTATAGTGCTTGCCCAGCCTGCATAAGACAATGGATTTCATCCCCAGCACCACAAAATTAACAAGTAATAAAATTTAAAAACTATACACACGATTTCTAACATTTTGTATAAAAAAGGAAGAAGGGTGAGCAGGATCATTTCACTTTACCTCTGGTAAGACCCCATTTGTATGAGAAAGTGTATTGTCACTGTCACCAAAGCACTCAGCCAGCTCTCTCTGGGGGCACCCAAGTGCTTCCATTACCACCTCCTTCATCTCCTCCATCACTGCTTATCCTTCAACCTCAGCCACTGAAGCCTACAGTCAACATGTCCCACCTGAGCCTCCCCCCGACCCCAAGCCCCCCACCCAGCCTCACCTACCTTCACCTACTCAGTCAGTGTGAATGGCTCCCAAGGAGACTTGACAAACATCCCTTTTGTTTTTAGGACAAAAACTCTCAAAAGGATGCCTCACTTAGCAAAGGCTTAAGGGTAACTGTTATAATTTGGATATGTGCTGTTTTCTCAAAGGCTCATATATTACTCAATGTAGGAATAGTGACAGGTAAAATGATTAGTTTATAAGAGCTGGGACTTCATTGGTGGCTTGATCAAATTGATGGATTAATAATTTATAGCAGGTGAGAGTGACTGGAGGAAATAGGACACTGGAGGCATGCCCTTGGGATTATTTCTTGTCCCTGACTCCACCCCTGCCCCCCACTTCCCAGCCACCAACAGCTGAGTAGCTTTCCTCACCCATGCCCTCCCACTATGATTGCTGCATCATCTTGGGCCCAAAGTAATGGAATTGGCTGAAAATGTACTGAACCTCTGAAACTGTAAGCCCACAATAACTTTTCCTTCTCTAAGTTGTTCTTGTCAGGTATTTTGGTCACAGGGATGAAAAGTTACATTATAATATAATTTATTCAAGTAATTTCAATTGTAATTATTCCTGGGGAAATTATAAAAATATAAGTTTGAAGATAACAAAATATCCTACTATGTATCTTGAAAACTTCAAAGCTAAAAAGAATATCTCAAGAACAGATACAAGGTATTATCAACAGAGAGTCAGAAAACATTTTCACAATTCCATGTTCAAAATTTAGAGAAGGAAAAAAACATAGAAGGTTTTAAACATCAGGCCAAGTGTCAGTAAACTGAAGCGTCGGGGCCATAATAGGGCCAGCCACCTATTCTTGCTCTACTCAAAAGTTAGAATGGTGTTTATGTTTTTAAACTGTTGCCAAAAAAAAAGGTAAAGAATAATATTTTTCTGATAATGAAATTTACTAGATATTCAGTGTTCATGAATATAGTTTTATCAGAACACAGCCATGTTTATTTGCTATGGCTGCTCTCACATTAAAATGATAAGGTGGACTATCTGAGACAAAGACCATGTTGGCCTGAAAAGTCTAAAATATATACCATCTGGCTCTTGAACAAACAGGTTTTGCCTATTCTTATGCTAAAACTCCAGTGTTTAAGAACCATAACAATAGTTGTCCTGCAGATCTCAGGGAGCTACAAGCTTCTACCCTTATTATTCTCTGAATATTGCTAGAATTGCTTTTGTGGAACTGAGTTCACTGATGAGGCAAATAAGCTAACATGCAATCTGGAAGCTCTGTGCCTGCTGTTTGCACCCAGGACCAGGGCATAGTGGTGCATGCCTGTAATCCCAGTGACTCAGGAGGCAGAGGAAGGAGGATCACAAGTTTAAGGCCAGCCTCAGCAACTTAATGAGGCCCTAAGCAAGTTAGTGAGACCCTTTCTCAAAATTTTAAAAATAAAAAGGGCTGGGGATGTGGCTTTGCATCAACAGAAACAACAAAAAAAGCCTAGAACCAAAACAAAGCACAATTCACACAATTCAGGTACATTGCAAATAGCTATGCTTTGATCAGGCCTGCCCACAACTAACTACCATATATGCATAAGACATTTATAAACCAATTTATAGGCAAGTAATTCAAAGTAAAGCCCAAATCACAAAGAAGAGTCAACTCACTATATTGCATCACTGTTTGAAAATGGTTAACTCAGGTTGATCGATCTAACACACCTAACACGCTCCAAATGACATCAAATCTATTCTCAAAGAAGAAAACTTGACCCTTGACTGACAGGACACAAAAGTGTTCACATTTGGACAGAAATGCCAAATCTCAAGGATCAAAATATTTGGGAAAATTTATAGTATAATTCAAAAGAAATGTAGATGCTCAAATATATTTGGAAGGTGACAATACTTATGCATGAAAATTACAGTACACAAGTAGCCAGCAGTCTTTCATTAGAACAAACCACATAACATCTTTCAGCACTCAGCAGAGACTCAGTGACTAATAATAAAAATAGTAACCCCAAAACAATGAGTAAAATTGATATATAAATGATGGACCAATGTCTGGAAGAACTAGTGTTTTGTGTGACATAGGGATTAAGAATAACAACAACAAAAACAAAACCTTAAAGAATGATAATTAACATTAATTAACACCCAGAGCCAACCAAAAGAAAAACGGAACTGTATCTCATGTTAGTTTAGAGAAGTAATGAGATAGTAAATAGCCTTGTTAGTTCTGGTGGTGCACACCTGTAATCCCAGCAACTAGGGAAGTTGAGCCTGGAAGATCACAAGTTCAACGTTAGACTTGGTATCTTAGTGAGATTCTGTATTGAAATAAAAAAGTTTTTAAAAAGGGCTGGAAAGGAAGCTCAGTGGTCGAGCACCCACAGGTCCAATCCTCAGTTGTGCAAAAACAAAAACAAACAAAACAACAAAAAACAGCTTTCCATATGTAAAAACTAATGTTTTGCTTTTTCTATTGACTGTTTCTATATCCAAAGTGCAGTGCAGATGACAAATAAATGGAATGGTGGGTAGAAGATACACATAATCCTGATGGAGACTACATCAGAACCAAATTGTTCCCACATTACTATAAAAGAGCACAAAGATCTGATAGGTTACCTGAGGAATAGTGACCGAGGGGAAACCTAGATAGTTTCTGAATGCACGCCAGAGAATCCATCTGAACTGATGGCAGAAGGAGGTGACATGAGTGATCTCCTTAAAGCCTGAGCTCCTCTTCTGACAATCTGAGAGCTCCTGTAATCTAGCTTCTGTGTTTCTGTAGAAGAAGGAGTTGGCATAAAATTCAGCTAATGTGTCTATGACTGGCTTTTTTCTCTTGGAAAACTGTTCAGCTCTGTTGGCTTTGGAATAAAAGAGATAAAGAAAAGAAGCATTATTAAAAGATAACAGCCGATTTAACCTGTTTTTTCTGTGACTCGTTTTTGGATAACACCTTAACTCTAAAGCTTAAATATAGAAAAATCACAAGGATTGTCATTGCTTTACACATTAGTAAGCACAGCTAATTGACCTGACTTCTGCCATAATCTTATGGATATAGAAAACTGACATTGTCCTAACTATTGGGACTCTTGTTCTTAAAATAGACATCGTACCACAGCCATAATTCTTAATATAAAATCTAGTCCTTGCTTTCTTCTATGTGCAGATGCATAAAGTGCCAAGTTTCTTATTTTTAATGTAATAAAAACTACAAGCATATTTCTTTTTAATGCAAACTCACTTTATAACTCACAGTACCATATAAATATACATTAATAAGTTAAATTAAAAAAACAGCACTCATGGACAATGAAGCCTATCTGTTGATTGGTGTCAGAACACAACATTAGTGTAAATTCAAAAGCAATTTTTTAATGAACCAGCACAAATCAGTGGGGCAAAAACATGTGAACCTGAGACTCACATACCTTCACAGTCTTCTTCCTTTCTATTTAACACTATAGCAGAGGAGTCTCTATTAATGACATCCAGAAAGAAGTATGCAGGATTGTTGTAGGGCTCACACTGGTAACCTATGAAAGAAAACCAAAGAAACCAACCTGATGGTCTCGGAAAGAAAAGTAGATCACCTCCAGAGGGTGATGGAGGTGAGGCTAAGAGAATCTAACAAATTCTCCCTCATCCTCTTGCTCTTTTTTACCCTAATTTGTCTCTTCAGAACATTTTATATTAGTCCTTACTCATCATAAATCAAGAAACTCAAAGAACTATTAAAATGCTCTGGTGCTTATCAGGACTTCTTCATAAATCTAAAGCTAGGTCCAAGGAAAAAAGTGTTAAATGCCTGGGTGCACTGGGCTTAAGTTCACCTGGAAAATTCTGTAATGGCAATACACATGTCGGCAATGACTGCTTCTTTGCCATTTAAATACAGAGGCCCAAATGATCACCTCTCAAGCTGCCATAATTCCACATAGATGACAAATCTCCAAAGCACCATTATCAAGAGAAGGTGACCAGCATAGCACATCTGGGCTCTTACTTCAACTTCTTGTGGCACAATCATCTGAACTTGGCCTGAGGTCTGATTCTCAAGTTCATCTACTCTGGATTCCACACAGTCATGAGTACTTGATCATTTTTAAATGACAGACATTAAATAAAAATTAAGAAAATAGCTAGTGAATATTTAAACTTCATTTGGGACCATAAAGAAACATCTATAATCATATCCAAAACTATAAGCCATTAAAAAAAAATCACATAATTCAACCTGAAATACAAAGATCCAGGTATCTCAGAAATTTTGGTGCATCAAAGTCAGATTTAGAACCAGCCGCTCTAATGACTGCAGGTCACTCAAATTCATTCAGGGCCTAAATCTGCAATCTAATCTTACTAGAAATAAAGTACCATGTCCCTGAGCCTCATGAAGGCAGAGCATAATCACATGTCAGAGGGAAAGCTGAAAAACACCACAATCTGCTATATGGTCAAGAAGAAGATAATGTTGGGCCTTTCCATAAATATTCAATTGATGGAATAACTGGCTGTCGGTCCAACCAGTTAAGCACAGAACTTTCAGGGAAAGAACATCATAATTTTGAAGCAGAACAAAGGCCTAGTAGAAACACACTCACACACGCACACTCTAATATGAACAAGCAAGTGCTGCACAATGAAGCAAAATTTAGCACCAAACTGAAGATGCTTTGCAGTGGTGGAACCTGAGGTCCATCTGTACAGAGATCAAGTAACACTCCTGTTGACACCTCCGCTCTCCACAGGAGTCTGTGAAGGAAGGATCTAGTGCATGAAAAGGTCAACCATACCTGCTGATTGGAAGTACTCCAGAGCCTCCTGTGCAGGACCGTGGTACATGAGTTTTCCTGAGGCCAATAAGGTGAGGCTGTCAAACAGCTTGAAGATGGAATAGCGAGGCTGATGAATGGTGAAGATGATTGTTCTTCCTCGCTCAGAAATGCTAAGTTTAAAAAGGAAAACTATTAGCCATTAAATATCTGATTCTTGCACTTCTTAGTAAAATATTTTATTTCTGCTGTCACCCAGTTTTTCTTAATTTTCATTATGAACTTCCCCCTTTCATCTCCTATTTTCTACTTGATACTTAGGGAACATAAATTCAATGCATTTATTGAGAACACTAAGGTTGTTTTTTTTTTTTTTTTTTTTCTCTTTAGGTACCAGGGATTGAACTAAGGGGCACTGAGCCACTGAACCACATCCCCAGCCCTATTTTGTATTTTTTTTTTTTGGGTACAGGGTCTCACTGAGGCTGAGGCTGGCAATGAACCCGCGATCCTCCTGCCTCAGCCTCCTGAGCCACTGGGATTACCGGTGCAGGCACTCTAAGGCTTCTTAAAGAATGGTGCATCAACATTCTAGTGAATCCACTAGAATGTTTAGTGACAACGCAGATTCCTACAAAGTTTTCTCATACACTGAAGTGGAATCTCTGAGAATGGGTACAGGGAGCTCATATTTTTTAAAAGCATCCATATTTGAGAATTAATTATGGACTAAATATTCAAACTATGGTTGTATACCCAATTCTCACTGATGGCTTAAGTCTTCTATATCTTTAGGGTTGGTTTTCATTTTTCTGCTCTGATAATATAATTAATATTCCTAAATTCTTACTATGTTTATATCTATATGAAATGCTTTAGAGATAATCTTATTTCAAGAGGTCACAGTTACTAAGGCTTGTATTTGATCTCTGGTTCAATCCAATGGGAGAAATAGTTCTTAACTACCTTTTCATGAGAGTTATTACTAATGGGAAGAGAAAAAAAGGCCAAAACCATGTTCAAATTTTTTAGTAAAATATTTTATGAGAAAAATCCCTTTAATTAATTTTAATTGCATTTAAAAACTACCTAATATACACTAGCAAAATGTGTTCTGCCTCAAAGAGAATCAGGACACAAGACCAATAATCTGAATATAATGTAGAATAGAATTAACTAAGTTTCCTTGTGATCAAAATGGGAGACTTATAACCAGTCTAAAGATGATTTAAGTAGAATATCGAAAGGTCCAACAGGAGTGATGAGCTAAGAAGAGAAAAGCACTCGTGTAAGAACAAGGTGAACTAAGTGTGAAATAAAAAGATCTCATTGGGAAAGTACAGTAAGAAGCTTAATGTTCAGGACTAAGCTTTGTGTGTGTGTGTGTGTGTGTGTGTGTGTGAGAGAGAGAGAGAGAGAGAGAGAGAGAGTGAATGTGAGGGTGTTGGATGAGGAAGATAAAAAAGGCAGTACAGAAAGAACAGAACAGGCCGAGGCTCATCCCTCACTTAGAAACCAGAACTTTGCTCCTAGGCAAGAGGGAGCTGATAAAGGACTCAGAGCAGGAAGTGGGATTACCCAAGAGCCCTGACACCCAATGTGTGTCTGAGGACCAGCAGCATCATTATGAGTACTCCTCTTAGAATCTCCTGTGCAGAAACTGGGGCTTTATCTCATTTCTAGAGAAACAGAACCTGCATATTTAAGCAGCCTGAGTACAGAGTAGTGCTTGAGAAGGATTGGGAAGAGCTCTCTGCTGGAGCAAGTTCTCTGTGCACTACAAAACAAGAAAACAGTCAAAAGGCTGGGGTGTGGCTCCATGGAGAAGTGCTTGCCCGGTGTTTCCAAGGCCCTGAGTTCCATCTCAGCCCCTCATTAAAAGAAAATAGTTACTGTATTGGGTATAAATTCATCATTCTCTAACAAATACTACTAACAGAGTTATAGATAATAAAAATATCATGGGTATGTTCCATAAAGGGACCTGAACTGCATACCATGACTTGGCATCTCCACTTGCATGTGCAACTGAAATCTTAAAAAGTTTAAACCATACACATACTCCTACTCTTCTGTTTCTCCTCTTCTAGCATAGAAACTCGTTTACAGGGGCATGGGCCACAGACAAAGATGTTAGAGTCTGTAAACAAGTCAAGATGGCGCCTGGCAAAATGCCAGAGGGAGTGGTTTGTGAAGTAACGCCAGCGAGCCAGTAAGTGTGGAGATTTCTTATTGGTTGACTGATGTATCTAGTTTATGCTAATTAAGATAAGCTGTGTGGAATGTATAAATACCTCTGTTGTCCTACAATAAACGGCTCCCACTCCTGCTGTATCAATGTACACAAGTTGTTCGTCACCCCCGGTTATTTTGCTGCAGCCAGACTGCGGCACAAAGAGAAAGGTACTGATAGAGAGGGGAAGCCATGAAGGTGGTGTGTCTGGAAGCTTAAAAAGTGGGCCAAAAGGGGTCTGCAGAGGCCACTTCCTGTCTTGGAATGAAGGGCTCTAAATGCTAGAAGGAAATAAGTAGTTGACGGATCCACCAGAGGTTTAAGAATAAATACTTGTTTCCAATTTAACAAGGTAATAGTTGTCCTTAACATACTCTAAAAATACTGTTGTCAAGCATCTATAAATGGTCACTTCTCTGTTTTTTCCTCTCCCAACAGATTAAAAGACATTTAGTACAAATACTTCAAATTCCTATAGTATTTGGGACCCTGAGACAGGTGAACAAATATTTCATTACTGGTCAGACTCCCCTATTTTGAGTTTGATTTATCTTAGCAGAGCCCTGGACCCAGAGGGTACTGGTGTTTGGATTGAAGGAGTTGGCCAACTGCTACCTTGGATATGACTGTCAGCTTTTATCCTAATGACTGGATGAGTCATGATATGCTTAGGACCAGTGGATATAACTCTTAATGATAATAAATAATCTGCTTATAGGACTTTTTTTTCTTTTAGAAAACAAATCCTTTAAGTTTTACTTGATATGATACATTTCAGTAATTATTATAAATAGCTCTTAGACTGTGAAAAATTGACTAGTGTGATAAAATACACAAGATGTATTTTTTTTCCTCTTTGATGAAAATCATGTCTATAGCCAGTATGACAATTATAATACTTAATAGTATTGGATGTATGGCATGGCAGTGATGATAATTAGTACTCAGGGCTGTCTGTTAATAATTAGACCTCGGAGAAGGGACAAGGTTGGTATCATTAGCAGGGCAGCGCCTTGCCCCTTCTGTCAACTAATCTATCTGATAATTGTCTCTAGCCTTCAAATTAACTACAGATCATCCCTCGAGTGGAGAACTTTGGGGGTGTGAAATAAGTCTGAGGGCTTTTAACCCAGGGGGAAAGGCACTGGTATTATTCATAGCATGACCTGAGGTTGGAGAGCCTGTAACCAAAACTAGAAGGTAATTTCTTGATGGATGGAGGACTCCTTGAAGCACTGCCAACATAAATCTACCTCAGTTAAGTAGTCAGAGTAACTTTTCAAGATTTCAGACGTGAGATACTTGTATTTCAGTCAATGTATTCCAAAGCTTGATGTTTTTGTTTCCCTTTAATTCTAAAGTAAACAATTGTCATGAAAAGAAAATGAGGCAGAAATGTTTACAAAATGGGTGGAGGACAAAGTAAACAGCAGAGCAATTGGAGGTCTGGTTGCATTAGAAAATTAAATTACTTGTTTGAGTAAATAAAGGAATATATTGAGAAAATGGGAGTCACTCTCTCCTGTCTGATATCACTTATAAATATGAAGATGGCAAAGACTCAAAATGACAAGGAGATTTTAGACTGGAATTCAAATATTATTGTGAAATTTTTAATATGTACACACTAACAGAAACAGCAACAGTGACAGATGTATTTTTACAGGGTTCTTTCTTTTCAAATATAGATGTGCATGTGTGTACACACATATAGGCACATGCACATAAAATATTTATATTCCACATTTTTCTAAATAAAATATAGAAGTACTTTTTCTACATAGTATACAAATATAAACATACATACACATACATGTGTTTTCCGATGTTTGCCTACAAGGGTTTATTGGCAATGCCAATACCAGTAACAGTAAAGAAACAGACCTTGGTTTCTAAAAATAGACCTTGGTTTTCGAATACACAAAAAAGAGCAGAAATGGCAGACACAAGAAAAGTACAAGACAAGACAGAAACATCACAATGACCTCAAAGAAGAGGAATGCTTAGCTGGGCATGGTGGTCCATGACTATAACCCCAGCAACTCAAGAAGCTGAGGCAGAAGGATTTTAAGTTCAAGGACGGCCTCAGCAATTTAGTGAGATCCTAAGCATTTTAGCAAGATTGTCTCAACACAAAAAAAAATAAAAAGGACTGGGGATGTGGCTCAGTAATAAAATACCTCTAGGTTCAATCCCCATTAAAAGAAGAAGGAAGAAGGGGAGAAGAAAAAGAGAATGAGAAAAAGAAAAAGAAAAAGGAGGAAGAGGAGAAAGAGGAGGAGGAGGAAGAGGAGAATGAGAAGGTATTGGTGATGGGGGGTGGAAAGAAGAAAGAAGAAGAGAAGAATAGAAATGCTTGAAGAATGGTTAGGGAGACATTATAAAAACACATAAGCCATATTGAAGAGACTTCCACTGTTCAAATTTGGGTTAATTTCAACATTAAAATAGTGTAAAACATCAGGTTTTACCCATTTCACAAAATGGGAAAGGAGAGAAACCTCTTCCTTCCAGAGAATGTCAACGACGGCATGTTTGGCTGCTGCCACAAGAACAGGAGTTGTGGTGCGTAGGGAGACGTTGGAGAAACTGGATATTGGCATGAAACACTGTTCAATTCCAATGTTCTCTTCCTTGATAAAGTAAAAGCATCTCTTTAATTTCTTCCATTTGTTCAGGCCCCAAATTTTAGGAGTTATTGTCTCAATCCTCACACTCCACGTCCACTTTCTGAGCGGATCCTGTTGGTTCCATTTTCAGAACAGATCCAGAAACCAGGCTCTTCCTAATCAAAGCTGTCCTACTTTAGCAGCTCCTTCTAGTGTCCTCACACTCACCTTTGCCCAAGTGTTCTCCAAATGCCAAATGTTCTCCACAGCAGCCACTGCTCTTCTCTAAAACTCTCACAAAGCTTCCCACCTCCTCTAAGGACAGGAAAAGCCACGCTTCTTACAATGGCCCAGGAGACCTATGCAACCTGCCACCAGCCCAACTCCAACTCTCATGGATTCTAACTGGGATGAGTTGAGCTGTGGTCTCCCCAAAATTCATATGTTGACGTCCTAACCCTCCAGTACCTCAGAATGTGGCTACATCTGGAGACACAGTCATCAAAGAGGTCACTAACCTTAAATGAGGTCATTAAGGGGATCCTCATCTGACTGGGACCATTTTAGAGATAAGTTCACAGACACAGAGGGAGAAGATGGCCATCTGCAAGCCAATGAGAAAGGCCTCTGAGCAGACAACCTGTGGACAGTTTGATCTCAACTGCCAGCCCCCAGAACTGAAAAAAGGAATTTCTCTTGCTAAATCCCCAGCATGTGGTATCATTATGGCAGTACAGCAGCCAGCCTCCACCCACACTGGTCACAGGTTCTGTCCCTCTAAACTCTCTGGTGCTCCACATGCGTTAGACATGCTCTGCCTCAGGGCCACAAGCTGCTCCTTCCAGCTACAACTCTCCACTGCAGCTGCCGCAGGTCTCACTCACTCACTCCCAGCTCATGCATCACATGCTGTGGTCTTCCAGCTCTTTAAAAAAGATCCCCACTCCACCACTGCCGTCCCTCCCTCTTCTATTGCTTTTTTATTCTTGATAACACTACTTTGTTCATTGGCTGTTTCCCTCTAATCAGGAAGGAAGAAATTCTGCTGTTCATTTCCAAATACTCAGTAGGAATATCTGGCATACAGAAATGACCAAATATAAAATAAATGAAAGAATAATATTCTCATAGCATTTACCTTTTCAGGAGCAAAAGGATAGCAATTGCTGTGCTGGAGTCTAAACCAGCTGTGGGCTCATCCAGGAACAAGATGGGAGGATCAGTGATCAGCTCCATTGCTATGCTGGTCCTTTTTCTTTCTCCTCTAGATACAAACTGGGTTCCAGCCTAAAACACAAAGTTATTGTTATTATCTACAGAAACAACCACAGTCACTGCCATTTGGTAGATTAACCTGTGCCAGTCCTATTAGAGACACTTTATATTGTTGTCCTCATTATTCTGAGCAACAAATAAATAGACATCTGAGAGAAGAGACGGTTTCTCTTTTACCAGATGAGTAAAATGAGGCTCAGGACATAGCTTCTAGATGACTGGACCAGATATGAAGGCTGTGATTTTAACGGCTAAGTCCCCAGCATATGGTAAGAAACATACATATTTTTCTTATCAAGTCAAATATTTAAGTTTAGCCAAAGTAAGCTGGAACACTAAACGAAATGTCCCTGATAGTGGAATCATACAATAAAACAAGAAATAAAGAGAGGGGGGGAACAAGGAAAGTCTCTCTAGTAATTATTAGTCTTTTATCAATGTCCCAAACACTGTGGACTTTTGGAGACCTCCAAAAGTCTCCAAGTAGATTTACAAAGAATAGACTCACAATCAAAAAAGTGTGCTTTCTACCACAGCACATCAGCACATCAATCACTGCAAGTCTTTCTAAATTGACAGTATGTCCACCCCAACTCATTGCACAATTCCTCATTTATTCTTTGAGACAAATCTAGAAGGTGGTATATTCCACAGGGCCACTGACTCAGTGTCTTCAACCAGTCTATATAATTTTGTGTGATGAGGGAAGTAGGAAGGTTTCGGGGAGACAGGAAGTAGAAAACAATTCTGAAATTCAGAGTCTCCAAAGGGATAATAATCAAATGCAACCCAAGGCCCATGACTGGGTCCTGTTAATGGTACTACAAAAGATATTTGGAGACAAGGTGAATGTATATGGGCTTGACATAGGTGATGATATGAGCATACAGTCTATTTTGTTCGTTGGTAATGGTATCGTAGTAAAGTAAGGAAATGTCGTTTTATAGATGTATAATAAGTATTCTGGGAAGAAACATCGTATGATTTTAAATACTCAGCATGAAATTGCTGAAGTAATTATGGCAGGTGGTATTTACAACTGATAAACCAAGGTGAATAGTATGAGTAAGTATACTACCATATGATCTGACAATCATAGCATTATCACATTGTCTATTTTCTCTACATTTCTGTTATTTTAAAAATTCATAACATAATAAAATTATTTCAATTAAATTAAATAAATTATAACAAGTCAATAACTGCCTTAATATATTTTCCCTGAAAACCCCAATAAGTGACTTTGAGCAGTGCCTGCTTAAAGAACATAGCAAAAGACTACCTTACTGGGAAGGCAAAATCAAATAAATAAAGAGCCAAAGGAAAGAAAACTCAATGATTCATAAAACAAAAATAAGTGCTAAATGGTGGCATCCCAGGATTCTTCTTCCAAACAAAGTACACTTCACATAAAATACTATCAACAGGTACCAGGGGAAGCAGCAGAGAGTACAGCCCCTTAATTCTTCATTGCCTCAAAGGAGAGGTGATAACAGGGAGTGCCAAAGGAAAAAAAAAAGACTATAGAAAAATAACTTGGTCACTACACAAATTATAACTAAATCCTAATGTGACCAAATATAATTTTCAAAGCCAAATTACCCCAAAAATGAACTCCACAGAACTAGAATCCTTGGATTCCTATCACTTATCAATTCCAGAAATACACCATAAAAAAAAAAAAAAAAAAGCATAAGAACAAAGTCACCCGAGAGGAAGAGGGAGAAGAACTACTAAATGGATAATAAAAAAAAGGAAGAAGAAAAGTTAGCGGAAAGACGTCAAAGAGCCCTGAATTAACAACAAGGGTGAGAAGACCACATGGAAAAGGCCGTGTGAGGAGCATGGCGCATTCCTGGGATTCAACCATCATTAAGATTGCTTCTCCAGCTTCATTTCCACCTTCATATTATGTAACTTGACTTTTCTCATCATTACGGAAAGCAGCCACTTTTGACCTCACAGACCTTAGGAAACTTCTGCTTAAGGTCACATTGTCCACATAGGGAGGTCCTCTTTGCTGGCTGATTCTATCAGGCTTTGTCATTTTACCTTAAAATTGGTCACTTTACTCAGACCTAAATCTTGAATGAGTTTGTTGATCCTCTCATTTTTTTCGTGATTTGTCATAGTTGTTGGAAGCCGAAGAGCCGCTGCGAACTGTAAATTTTCTCTCACTGTCAGGGTGCCCATCCCAACACCATCCTGAAGGCAAACAGTATTTTAATGAGACATACTGAGTCTTTTCTAAGACTATCCCTCCAGCAAAAGTAACTTAGTCCATGAAAATAACAAAGTCAAGGTAAAGTTACAGCTGATGGTAAACTTTCAGCTCCACAAATTGCAGAGCTTCCACCTACAGACAACTGCAGAGCCTAAAGGAGGCATTTCATCCCTATCTGCACACCCAGATGGAGCAAGAGTAGGTATACTCACTATATCCAGATACCTCCAAATTGTTTTGTATGAGGATTTAACAAATGCATCTTCTGGGGGGAAGGAGAAAGTTGCAGGAAGGGCAAAAAAGGAGAAGAGTAGACAATTTTGGAAATAATACCACAGCTAGAATCAACACCAGCACCCTACAGGGGTCATATTCCAGGTCCTCTCAGTCTTTTCATTTAATTCCACCCTCAATCTTATGGGAGATTATGAAAAGCTGGTGTAAAGAAAAGTGGTTCCTGGATCATGTCCTATATTCAATTGGAAGCATGGTAAACTACAAGCCAAGATTCTTGTCCATACAGAAATAGGGGAAATCTGAATTTCCCACTTACTTGTGCCACATAACCTGAATGACATGGGAAACTGGCTGGTCGAAGGGATCCATTTATCAAAACTTCTCCAGATAATCCATGTGGATCCTTCCTTGCGGCTAAGACATCCAACAACCTATAAAAGGACATTTTATGGGTCTTTTTCTCCCTGTACACAGGCCATACCTCTCAGCTATTCTGAATTAAAATGTTCTGCAAGTTGGACAATGAACTAGTCACAAAGTCTATAGTTCATCTAAAATTTTGCATATACATATATGTGCACACACACACACATATATATATACAACACATATGAATATATTTAAATTTTCACCTTACCTTTCATTATAAGTTGCAAGAAAACCAGAAAATATAAAATCAAGGCAAACTTGGCTTATCCAGCACATATCTTCCAAATGACCCTTGTGACTGACAGATCTTGGAGAATCCAACCCAGGCAATACACTTTCTCTAAGACTTATGTCTTCAATTATACCTTCAGCTCCATCTCCCTGCTTTCATATCATCCCTTTCTTTTCTTCCTCATTAGCTCATAATATGACCAACAATAGAATATCAATTACATTATCATACTGTGTTTATAAAGTTGACCCAATAACACTTCCTGTTACTTGGAATAAAGCCACAAGGTAGCCTGACCACATATAATCCCCAGCACTTAGACTGGACATGCACAAAGTCTCAATCAACATCTGCTCCATAAACTGATTTTTAAAGCACACTGAAACGGTGCAGAAAAGACTTGCTTATACTTTATTATACTCACGAGGATTTGCCTCCACCTCTGGGTCCCATGATGGCATTGAGGCCAGGTTTCATGATCCCACTGGAAACACAAAAACATACATCAATATATCGTTACACTTTAAACAAAGTTCAGTTGAGGTCTGCATCGAATACACTCAAGGAAGGTTGATGAAATTGCAGACAGAAAACAAGAACTAAGTCAAAGTGGAAAAAAATAACTATCGATTAATAAAAGTCTAGTATACAAAAGGTGTCAATCACTAGTCAAGAGCTATAAGAAAGCTGACTCAGGCACCTCTCATCTCCTTTCATTTGTTTTCTAAACCACTTATTCCTTTTGGAAAGTGGCACATCTGATGATCAAAGTTTCTTCAAATTAGCCTGAGGATACAGCTCAACAGTAGACCCAATGCTTAGCACACAGGAGCCCTGGGTTGCACCCCCAACAACAATAACAACAAAAGTTTCTTGAAATAACTAATAGATTCTCTTGAAGCCTCACGGTTCCACTTACTCCTCTTTTTTTTTTTTTTTAATGAAGACATGGTTTTCATTCTTTTTTTTTAATAACTGTATTTTGTTTATTTATTTTTTGTGTGGTTCTGAGGATCAAACCCAGTGCCTCACATGTACAAGGCAAGCACTCTACCACTGAGCCACAACCCCAGCCCCCCACTTACTCCTCTTAATACTCTGTAAAGTACATAACAGCTTCTGAGAAATGTTTGAACACCAATATTCTTCAATAGCCTCAATTGCAATGTAGTCAAGTTTTACACTGTTGAGAGCCACAGCCGAAGGGGCCCCAGCAAACTTCCAGCTGCCAGCAATCCAGCTGCCGGCTGATGATTGGCTCACAGCGGCCCCAGCAACATCTAGCTGATTGGCTCCTGGGCCCCAGCAACATCTAGCTGATTGGCTCCTCTGCGGTGATGCTCATTGGACTGTTTCCCTGCCCTTTCAGACCACGGAGCTGCTCATTGGGGGACTTTTTGGCTCTGCCCACGTGACCCAGCCAATCGGCCTCAAGAGCAGGAGGATTGTGGGAGGTGGAGAGAAGCTTGTGTGGGAGAGAGAGGCTTGTGGAAAGCCGACGGTGGCAGTTGGGCTCTGAGGGGTTTTTCCTGAGAGGCTGTTTGTTTGGCGTGTTTGGTTCTAAAAATAAAGTTAGTTTCTTTTGACAAGTGGCTTCTGATTGTGCCCAGCCAGACTGCGGCATCTGGTGGCTCGCACGGGGAGCGACTGAGGGTAAGTGAACTGCTCGCCCCTGAGGGCAGGGCGAGAGGATGGGTAGCCATTTTAAGATTCTTCTTTTGTTATTTTGTTTCACTTTTGTTTTAAGTTGCCTGTCCCTGGAGATGAGTGAGACGGAAGAAAAACCGCTCACATCTGAGGAAAAACTATTTACGTCTGAGGAACAGATAGGGAGAAAGGACGGATGCACATGTCAGGAGGATAGAAAGGCTATAATGACTTTTTGTTGTTCCCTTTTTATTTCATTCTGTCTCGGTTTTGTTTGGCGTCATCTTGTTGGGTTGTATTATAGTAGAAATACGGGATCAGAAATTAGTAAAAAACAAACTGAAAGAGTGTTAAGTAAATTGTTAGAGGAAGGAGGCATCCCAGTAAAATCAATAGCAGTCAGGGCATACGTTGATACAATACAAAAATGTAGCCCATGGCTTTTTAAGGAGGAGTTGTTAAATATATCACAATGGAACCATCATGGTGAAGATTTAAAAAGAATAGAAAAGAAAAGCCCAGGGACTCTGCCAGTTGGCACATTGCCATTGTGGACGTTCGTATCTTGTTTGCTTAGTCCAAAGCCTTCAGTTCAGACAATGGTAGAGGAAGGAGAAGACATAATGATTCAAGTAAAAGAGAAGGTCTCTCAAGTTAGTCAGACAGAGGAAAAGATTCAAGTAAAAGAGAAGGCCTCTCAAGTTAGTCAGACAGAGAAAGAAAGTGTAAAACAGAAAAAGCCATCAGGGGGAAAGTTACAACAGGAGATTGCTACTAACACCTTTCTATCACCAGAGGACGTAAGTGTCCAACTAACAAGGCCACCTCCATATGCTGGGAGGTCCCCAACCCCCGCAGTTGATAGTTGGGATCCTGAGACAAGATCTCAAATATTAACATGCCCTGTATTTGAGGCAGGAGGGCAGCGATTTTACCAAGTTTTAAATTTCAAAACAGTGAAGCAGCTAAAAGAGGCTGTAACAACCTATGGTCCTCAAGCACCCTTCACTGTAAGCTTGGTCGAATCCATTAACAACTTGAACATGACGCCAGCAGATTGGGCTAATATGTGTAAAGCTGTGCTAAATGGAGGACAATACCTGTTATGGAAGGTTGCCAATGAGGAATTTTGCAAGGAGACGGCTAGGCGAAATGCAGCAGCTGGTTATCCTCAGAGAAATCTAGATATGTTGTTAGGAAAGGGACCTTATGAGGATCAGCAGCAACAAATTGCATATGATCCTGGCGTATACGCACAAATTGCTGCAGATGCAATTAAGGCATGGAAGACTTTACAAGGACATGGAGGTTTACAAGGTCAATTATCTAAGGTAATACAAGGAGCTAATGAACCTTATGCTGAATTTGTAGATAGGCTTATTCAAACAGCTACCAGAGTTTTTGGGAATACAGAACAAGCAATGCCATTACTAAAACACCTGGCTTATGAGCAAGCGAATCGTTGGTGCAGAGATATCATTAGACCATGGAAACATGAAGATTTAAACACATATATTAAATTATGTAGAGACATTAATGAACAAGAGCAAGTCGTGGCAGCTGCAGTAAAACAGGCTTTAGATGCCAGAGACATTAATGAACAAGGGCAAATTGTGGCAGCTGCAGTAAAACAGGCTTTAGATGCCAGGCCAAGAACATGCTACAATTGTGAACAAACAGGACATTTTAAAAGGAATTGCCCCATTGGAGGAGGGTTTAACAAAACTAGGTATCCAAGGAGTAGAATACCAGGTATTTGCCCACGATGCCGTAGAGGGAGACATTGGGCTAATGAATGCCGTTCTCAAACCACCATAGAGGGTACTCCATTATCAAAAAACGAACAAGGACCAGGTGTTTATCCACGATATCGTGGAGAAAGGCATCAGGCTCCATTGCCAAAAAATGGACAAGGGGGCCCAATGCTCCGGGGCCCAAAACCACAAATATACGGAGCACTGGAGGAACCCAGCAACCCCATCAGGGTAGTGCCCAGGACACATTGTCCATCAGATCCCTCATCAGACAAACCAGAGGGAGCGCAGGGTTGGACATCTGCGCCTCCGCCAGAGCAGTACTAACTCCAGAGATGGGAGTTCAAATCATTCCCACAGGGGTAAAAGGACCTCTTCCCAAAGGAACAGTAGGCTTATTATTGGAACGCAGCTCTTCTACTCTAAAAGGACTTATGATAAGTCCTGGGGTAATTGATCCCGATTATGAAGGTGAAATAAAAATTATAGCCAGTTCTCCAAAGGGTATATCAGTAATTTCACCAGGAGATAGAATAGCACAGTTACTAATAATACCCAGCCTACATGATAAATTTTCCAGTCGTACTGTAGAAAGAGGTTCCAAGGGATTAGGTTCCACAGGTGTAGATTGGGCTATGCTTTCTTTAAATTTAGATTCTCGCCCCATGCTAAAACTAAATATTCAAGGACATGAATTTAATGGGCTACTGGATACAGGTGCAGACCTTAGCATCATCTCTCGTCAAGAATGGCCAAAACATTGGCCATTACAACAAGCCACTCAAACGCTTCGAGGCCTAGGAGTGGCGACTAATCCCCATAGAAGTGCAATGGTATTAGATTGGAAGGATCCTGAAGGATGTGAAGGAACTATACAGCCATATGTATTGGATCATCTTCCCGTAAATTTATGGGGACGAGATGTCCTAGATCAATTAGGTTTGACATTAACAAATAACATCAACCAAAATGCACCCACTATTATGACTAGACAAGGTTTTAGGAAAGGAAAAAGATTAGAAAAACAAGAACAAGGTATAGCAGCACCAATACAAATAGATCAAGGAACAGACAGACATGGGTTGGATTTTCAGAAAGGGCCACTGAGACAATAAAAATTACTTGGAAATCAGAAAGACCAGTGTGGGTTCCTCAGTGGCCCCTGACTAAAGAAAAGATACAAGCAGCCCATGACCTGGTCAAACAACAATTAGCAGAAGGACATATACAACCTTCTGTATCTCCCCATAATACTCCCATTTTTGTCATCAAAAAGAAATCTGGTAAATGGAGATTATTGCAAGATTTAAGAGCCATTAATAATGAGATGGTTATTATGGGACCTGCTCAATCAGGGATTCCTCAGTTGTCTGCTTTGCCAAAAACCTGGTATGTTTTAGTTATAGATATTAAAGATTGTTTTTTTTCAATTCCAATTCATCCTGAGGATAGTCCACGTTTTGCATTTACTATCCCTGCACTGAATCATGAAGGTCCTGATCAGAGATATGAATGGAAAGTACTCCCTCAAGGGATGGCTAACAGCCCAACTATGTGTCAAATTTATGTTAACAAAGCAATCCAGCCACTTAGAAATCAAAATTCTGAACTACAAATATTTCACTATATGGATGATGTATTATTAGCACACAAAGATAAAAACACATTGCTAGAATGTTATGCCACACTTACAAACTTATTAAAAAATTATAATCTAGAGATAGCAATAGATAAAGTACAATTAAATTTTCCAATTAATTATTTAGGAGTTCTATTATCCTCAACCATGGTCCGTCCACCAAAAATTCAAATACGAGTAGATCAACTCAAATCACTTAATGACTTTCAAAAGTTATTAGGAGACATAAATTGGATAAGGCCTTATTTAGGTATACCAACAGGAGAGTTGGGACCTTTATTTGATATCCTAAAAGGTCCATCAGATCCAAATTCACCCCGAATGTTAACGCCTGAAGCAAGAAAGGCATTAAAAATCATTGAAACATATATGGAAAATATGCATTTGGATAGAATTGATATAAGTTTGCCTTTATTATTTATTGTACTACCAACAAAAAATATT